TCAACAGTAAGGTTGCTACCTGAATTGGAATATTGTAGGAGGAAGTGGCTGCACTCACAGATGAAGAGTTGGTCACTGTCACGTTGGTCTCGGGGGTTTGAACCACGTAAAAGTCATTCATGTGCATTATCCTTATAGCCTTACAATACTCCCACTTTATCTGTTTATGTAGTCATAATTTCTTTGGTTAATTATTCTTATGGTGGATATATATACACACACACAATACATTTGTGCTACACTTATATGATGAAATTTATCTTAAGCTCTTCATAGCTTAAATTTATCTTGTTACATAATTTTTGTGAATCTTGATTTAGTAAATTCATCATTGGTAATTAAAATATGTCTTGGTTACTAGACTTAATAGGTACATAACTCAACAATAACTTGTCTTTAGACTTGATACGTACATCCTCAAAAAATTATCTTGATCGGCACAAATCTCGAGGAAAAATCAAGTTGGAAACTTTCAAAATTAAAATTGGAACCATCCGAACTCCGATTTCAGTAAACTTATAATCGAAATAAACGTCTCGAAAATACGGACCCAACGACACCAAATTCGACTCAACTTGAGCCCAAATGGGTCCAAATCAAGGGTCTGAAGCATTGTTGGAGGGCTCGAACAATAATTTGGATTACCAAATGGTTTTTAAACATGACGTACTTATAGTAAAATCGAGCGGCTAGATGAGACGAATACAACGAGCCTAAGATCACTGAATTCCAACATCACTAAGACATTCAAATGTCCATTAAATGGTCCACAATCAAGGGATTCAACATCGGCCGTCCATCCAAGCCACTCCTCACATGCCCTTGATATCTCACCTATTTATAGGCAATGCCACTCTAGGAAATCTATAAATAAACCCCCTCCTCCCTCTTGAAAGGGGGGTTCCAAGCAAGAGAGAAAGAGAGAGATCAGATATCTCTCTTGCCTCCTCACTCCTCGACCACCTAATGCCCGGACTTCTGCCGGACCACCACCTGAGGCCCGGACTTTTGACGAACTACCACCTGAGGCCCGAACTTCTGCGGGACCACCACCTGAGGCCCGGACTTCTCCCATACCACCACATGAGGCCCGGGCTTCTATCAGACTACCACCTGAGGCCCAGACTTCTATCGGATCACCACGTGAGGCCAGAACTTCTCCCGGACCACCACATGAGGCCCGAACTTCTCTCGGACCACCACCTGAGGCTTGGACTTCTCCCAGACCACCACATTAGGCCTAAACTTCTGTCAGACTACCATTTGAGGCTCGGACTTCTGTCGAACCACCACTTGAGGCCCAAACTTTTGTCGGACCACCACATGAGGCCCAAACTTCTTCCGGACCACCACCTGAGGCCCATACTTTTGTTGGACCACCACATGAGGCCTGAACTTCTCTCTGACCATCAAATGAGGCCCAAACTTCTCCCTGACCACCACCTGAGGCCCTGAGGCCCGGACTTCTGCCGGACCACCACCTGAGGCCCGGACTTCTATCGGACCGCCACCTAAGGCCCGGACTTCTGTCGGGCCACCACCTGATGCGTAGAATTCTACCAGAGTACCTCCCTACTACAACGGTCTTCTTGACCTCAATCTCAGGCCAACTATGATCTTTTGAACCCTTGTCTCCTACAAATTATGGTCCTTTCGACCTCCGTCGCCTACTATGGTCCTTCTGACCTACATCATCAGACAATGATCTTTCTGACCTCGGTCTCCTGCATACTACAGTCTTTCTGACCTCTATTATATATACTATGGTCCTACCGACCAAACAAACATGTCTATATTGATTATTGTACTTTCCACCATGTAATGCGCTATAAATGATGTACATTTGTGGCATCAAGCTAAGGCCTTCTCCCTAAGAAGGGCCTCATTTGTAATCGATTGTAAATACTAGTGGATTCATTCAAACTGGGCCAGACCCTATGATTTTTCTCCCCTTTCAGGGGTTTCCACGTAAAAACTATAGTGTCCCTTATGAACGCTACACCCTCTCTCTTATCTGCTTGTGTGTTGGTTCTTTGTACAACGCTAAGACGCTAAACTTTATATTTCTCTACCACCGCGAATACTCCAGGACGCAACAAGACTATACAACTATATAACCTTATGTGGTGTATCGAGTTTGTATACTTAGCATTTACTATGACTCTTATTTTCATAAATATTTAGAATTTAAATTTACAAATTTGAAACAAAATTCCCGGTGCACATTAAACACCCAATTCACCTTCAAATTTACATAATTATGATGTTGTTTATAAGCATATTTGTAATATTTATATTTAAGATATAGTAATATTGGTAGTGTTTTTAGCAAGCTTAGACATTCCTTTATTTTCTTGAATTGATATTACATCATAATTAAGGTTTTATTTGGGAGAGCTTTCTTATTGCTCTTTAAATTTTTTTTAACTAGAAATTTTTGTACTGAAAAGATGCTTTAAAAAGCTGTAAGAAAACTATCCCAAACAAAACCTAAATCAAGCACAAGTAAATTTTTTCATCAATTATTAAATTAGTATCTTTTATGAAGCTTATATGATCTCATCATTCAATTATCTACTTTTTTCATGTATTGCTCACATAATTCCTCAAGATATTATAAACAATTACAAAATTAAAAGTGATATAAAAATGCATGAATTCAGAGGAAGCAACCATTAAGCCTTAATTTAACATATATAATTGAAAAAATATTTACCACCATAAAAGAAAGGAGATTTGTTAACCCCATAAACTTAAGCTTATATTTAATATTTTGATGATAAAAAATATAATTAATATGAACTAATATTATTGATTAAGATTATTGCACGTATGAAATAATGTACTTCCAATATAGGTTAAAATTGTATATCAAAATTAAATAATATCATGAAGCATATTCATGATTCAAAAGAAGCTAGTGATTCAATTAGCTAGAATTAGCCCAAGCGAAATCAAGATCAACCTTCAAGATGCAGAATTATTTTATTAATTTTGAGACATGAATTATTATATTTTTAAGAGATGAGACTGCAAAAATGGCCAATACATATATCATTGGATTTAAAAATCAATAAAAAACAAATATTAAGTAAAATTGAGATTATCATAGCTGATCGTACGATAAAATCGTGGATTGCAGTGTATAATTAGGCTTTATGTCAAGTTAAATAAGTTAATAAAAATTGTTAAGATTGGAAGATATAATAATTAAAAATTTTGATCCTAAGATTATATTATAACATATATACTATAACATATACATTATACTATATGATCTATCTTAATATTGAAATATATTCATAGGATTAGTTTATAATAAATTAAGATTATTTAAAATTTAAACTAATCATACGGTACAATAGGCTATATTATTTCAACTAAATCTACATTATCAAATTGCATTGAATCTCTCATAACATAGATAAGGAGCTGAATTAAATTTACATTATTAGTAAAACATGGCACTATCATTTCTAAATGCCAATCATACTCATGAAAGTAGATATCTAAATGATTTGGTCTCCTATGGAAAGCAAGTTTCCATAAATCGAAATTACTCTTAACCAATCATTAATAGTTATTAATGATCATCAATGCTTTTAATAACTTTATTGTAATTATCAATCAAGCTCATGTATTAATATATAAAAAAGCATACATATATGGGTTGAATAAATAAAAAGTTGCATTTAAAGTTCCCACACATAACTATTGAATTTTCATGATATTTTTGCATTCCTCGTGAATATCATCAAACATTTTTAAAAGTCATTTACAGACTTCAAATTGTCGCCTCAAATTCCCTCAATCTGTCTCTTTTCTCTTGGGATTTCTTATAATTTTTCAAGAACGTAACTTTTGGCGCGGTCGTAACACACCTCAAATGATTCCAATTTCATTAAAGCCAATATTGATGCTTGCATCTTGGAGTACAACGTCTGAGAAGAGGCTCAAAAGAGAGCCTTATTTGCCTCCAAAATTGGTCCATCCAATTAATACACTCAATGCCTCTTTCAAGAGAAGATCGAAGCCTTCACAAAGACTAAAAGTCTTGATTGGCTCCAAATCTAATCCATATAACAAAGACATTTAACATTTTTTTCAAGGGAAGACTAGAGTCTCCCCATGAAGACAGGAAGCCTTATTTGCCTCTAAAATAGATCGTTTGTCATGGCCCTCCAAACTTGATATATTCAAAGGATAATCAACACATGATCAAAGCATCGTCATATGAATTATGAATCTTGTTCACCTCCAATGATTTTAAACCAACATCGAATAGTTTTTAACTTTTTAGAGAAAAAAATCAAAACCTACCATGAGAATTGTGACCCTTCGAATCCACTATGTTTGACGAGTACGATTAAAACTTTAAGGGAAGATTGGAGCCTCGTTATATGGACTACAGGCCTTGATCACTTCCAACATTTTTAAACTCTTATCAGAAAAAATTTCTATCTTTTTTGAAGAAAAAGTTGAAGCAGGCCATATGGAGTTTTTCATCTTTTATAGAGAAACATTATAGCTTGCGAAGAAAATCGTTGCTCTCCTTAATTTCAAGGGAGTATTTATAGAGAAAAATCGTTTCTTTCTGAGAGAATCGTGGCTCTTCCCAGTCATAAGGAGGATATTTTTAGACTCAAGAGGCAATAAAACGCCCAACTGATCCATTATACAAGAGATCTGCTGTAAAAGTTGCGCTATTCTTCATCCAAGGGCTGATATCACCCCGGATCCGAGCTCATAATGCTACCTCAGCCTGCAAATTTTCGACTGCTCGCCGGCGCTCGAGAGGCTGGCAGTAAAACTGTAAAACCCAGTGGCCTGCACACAACCACCATGCGCTTATGTAGCTAAAGCCGGGGTGGGCAGCATGCGGTGTGATGTTCTTAGGTACACTGGTTCTACAGTGGGATGCCGTGCAGTCCAAAGATGTCTACGCCTGATGTCGTACTCCTATTTGAACAGGAATTATCTTATCGTGTCCCGGCGAGACATTTGTCCGAAACTTTCAGCACTCGTTTTCTTAGCGCATTTCCAGACGGGAGAACGAAATCTCCCCGGGGGTTCGGGAGCCGGAGGAAGGAAGGTCCAAGCAGTTCTTCTTCGCAAAAACCCTGTTTCATCGGTCTCCCGAAACGCTTAATCTAATAATTCTCCGGGGTGGATGGAGCTGGTGGGGCTGGCAGTTCGGAAGTGTTTACTAGGGCTTGGATCGATCTCCGGCGTCGTCGAATCATATGACACTTCTTCCGGTTATTTCAATATCCTCTATGATGACGGAACTTCTGAGGATGTCGATATAAACGAGATTGCTTTGATCCTTAGGGAAATGGGTCACGAGCCTTCTCGTGCGGGGGCACTTCTGCACCGGAGAGGTCGTGGCCGGCCGCGAAAGAAACGTTATCGCCTTGATCCGGTAGAGGGGCATGTCGTGGACGGGGTACCTGCTGACGCTAGGGCGAATGGTTTCTGTACAGGTAGTTCTTGGTTGGGTAGTATGTTTCACTCGGATGAATTGGGGGGTAATGCGGCGCACGATTCTGATGGAGGGATGGATAGGAGTTCGGTGGATCATTTGAAAGAAAGCGGGTCTCTGGGAGGTTCCGATGTTGCAGATGCCCTCATGGAGGAAATTTCACCCGATAACTGCAGTGCCAGGGAAAAGCGCGATGAAGATTTAGGCGGTGAAGGAGTTTTGGTTGATTTGGATAGTAAAGATGAGGGAGGCATGAGGAAAAGGAGAAAATTTTCTGGACAACCGAAACCCTCTCCCGATATGCCTCTGCGGAGGAGCGCTCGTAGAGCAAGCACTGTTCTGCAGTCTCCTCCCGATGCTCTTGGTTGCAAGAATGAACCGGTCTTTGAAAATAGTGCGAGGAACGGCAAAATTTTCGAAACTGGTACGGATGATTCCAAGCCCGTTTTACCGCCTTCATCCAGTGACCTGGATGTGGATGGCCTTCCTGTCCTTGATCTCTTCTCTGTTTACTCTTGTTTAAGGTCTTTCAGTAGGTCCCTATTTCTGAGTCCTTTCCGTTTGGAAACACTTGTGGCGGCATTGAGGTGCAAATATGCTAACCCTTTGATTGATTCCATTCACTTCTCTCTTTTGCACGCTCTCAAACCTCATATGAAGCTTCTTATGGAGGAGGAATTTCAGCCAGCAATTGATTGCCTTAGGTACATGTCCTTCTTCTTATGGTTCTATCTGTTTGGTTTACATAGGTTCTACAGATATGAAACTCTTCTGTTGGCCGACTTTTCTGTTTTTCAGGAATCTTAACTGGGATATGTTAGATTTAGTTACGTGGCCTTTCTTTCTGGTTGAGTATATGCTATTTTGTGGTTCTGCGATGAGGTCTGACTTCAAGCTTTCTCATTTGAAGCTCTTGGATGTTGAATACTATGAACAACCAGCTGAAGTGAAACTTGAGATTCTTCATTGTTTATGTGATGATGTTGTTGAGGTAGAATGCTTGAGGTCTGAGCTTAACAGAAGACTGACAGATTTAGAACTCACCGTAGATCCTAACATTAATATGAATTCTTCGAGGACACAAAAATATTCAGCAATGCATGACGGAGAAAATTACATAGCTCAAGAGGAAATTGATGAAATTGCTGATGGAAATTGTGATGAATGTTGTCTCTGTAGGATGGATGGCAATTTGATATGCTGTGATGGTTGTCCTGCTGCTTTTCATTCTAGATGCGTGGGGGTGGTGAAAGATCTTTTACCCGAGGGCGAGTGGTATTGCCCAGAATGCTTGGTAGATAATGATGTGGTGGTTAGTTTTTTGATGCCATTCAAAGGGGCTGATTCTTTTGGAAGAGATTCTCATGGACGACTATATTCTGGTTGCTGTGGTTATTTGTTAGTGTAAGTCTAATTGTTTCGTTATTCATTTTTAAGTACACATTTTAGTCTCTCTTTTTTACTTTAGTTCACATCCAACTCTATATTCATCCTCTCTCTTGTATTCTTGAACTTTGCTTTTGCATATGTAGGTTAAAGTGCTAGTTTTGTTGAACTTGAAAATTTAGATCAACAATATTTATTTCTCTAGTTAATAGGAATATCCATTGGCAAATTGATAAACTGAAATTTTAATCTACTTACTAGTTGTATATGCATCTTTGAAAATTCATATTTGTCCAGGAAAGAACTTTAGAACTGGGTAGATAGATGATGACGACGATAATAACAACAACAACATCAACCTTTTATCTCTCTATGTGGGGTTGGCTACATGAATCCTTTTTCTTCATTGCGTCATGTTAATAGTCAAATTCTCTAGTCGGCTACATTAATTCTGTTGAAATAGGTAGATAGAAATAGATGAAAGGATGGACAAAAGGATAAATTACATAATAAAAAAGTTAATGTTTTCTTTGGATGTTCACGCCTTTCTTTAGAAAAGAACTTTCTGAATTATTTGAATATTTATCTTAGGTCAGGGATGCATTTTAGTTGTTAATATCATTTATATTTAACAAGATAATCTTTTCTTTCTAAAGCATATTGGGTGAATATGCTGCCATGTTTTAGTTGGGCAAACATTAATTAATCTTTGTGATGCATGTATTAAATTAGTACACAATGCCCAAGTGGCCATAGGCCTGTTATAAGAAGTCTAATCAGACAACGACAGATTTGAAGCAGACCTGTTTGCAAGAAATTTTGTGCCATTTTTAATTATGGCCGAATTTCTCATAAAATTTTATTAGGTTTATCTTGTTTTGTATAAGAACAAGTTTAAATTTGAAGGTTTGTTAGGATTGACAAAGTTAGTTTTGCAATAAATCTTTGGCCATGATGTGTATGTGAATGACTTTTGATGAATGATTTAATTAATGAAAATTATTTGTGACGAACTAAATGCTCTCTTGGCCTAAGCTGTGTGTGAAGATCAACCAAGTTGTGTACGCAAAGCTATTTTTCTCCCCCTTGATCGAATTCCAGCTTGTCGTCTTGAACTCTCATCCACAAATTTCAAACATTATCTTGCCTGATGTTATCTTCTAGCTGCATATATTGTGTCACGCTCCAAGATCTAAATTGGAAGAATTGTATCAACATAAAACGATACAACATTTCATTTATATTTATTAAATATGTATATCTAGTAAAAGTTCAAAATGATACATATAAATTAGTCGTATCATACAGTAAACTAACTCATCCTGATGAACTCATGACTACAAAATAAAAAGACTACTAAAAGCTAAAACACAACTCATGTTTTCTCTTCCTTACCTTTTTATGAAAATATGTTAAAATCATATAATGAGCATTATAGCCTATTAAGTTACTATTATCTACAATTGACATCAATGTATATCATATAGTCAATCATATCTGCAGTATATTAAATAACATAGTGGTCTTTTCATTTCACATCAATCCGTTAGATATCAATTTAGCATTCAAAATTATTGGTTATCAATAGTTAGTATCTATCAAGTCATGTCAATCAACAATTAACAGTTTTATTCCTCTTATCTAACATATACTATTAGTGCACGTATCCATATCATGTGCTATTTATACACACACCTCAATGTTATCATATTTTATTTAGGCACACACATCAATGTCATATAAATTATCTATCAATTCTATCAATGTATGCACGTATCAATGTAGAATTCAACAATGCATGATATTCAACTCTAATATGGTATTTTTATTCTTTCCATCTGTCATAATTGTCCATCTGTTATGACATATCTTATTTTACATTTATGTCTATTATTTATATTCATTATTTATCTTCATGGGAGGTTTTCAATAATCATTAAGAGTCGTCATCTTTTACCCGTCAGCATAATTCGGTTATCAGTTACATACTACAATTGGGATAGCCTCACAAACTATTTTTAAAGGAAAGCCTGTTGGCCTACCCTACTATACAGAGTATTATATTTTAACATACAACCTGTATTAATTATAATGTTAATAGCCAGTCTACCTTGCTTGTATGCGAATGTCACATTCATCTTGTAGCAATAGTATCATTTTATTTATAAATGCGATGATGCATGAAATATAGAAAATCTATAAAATATATAATATCTTCATAAATGCATAACTATCATTTTACCCAGTGAAATTTAGAAATGTTGTAGTTAAAATGCTCATATTGATGCAAAAAATTATGTAGTGAAAGTTCACTTAAACGGGGGATATAAGATTTTTATCACTTTCAGGAGAGCTAAAACACAATAAACTCTGAATAATTAAAAATAGATATAGAGTAAAGGTTACTTACTATAAGTAGAATAACTTTCCAACATAAACGATGGATGGAAAAGCCCCGAAAGTCTCTTTTCTTTTTCCTCTCTCCTCTCCCTCCTCTTCTCCCATTTCCTTCCAGAGCAATTCAAGGATAATGGGGAAGGGATGAAATGACGGTGGCTAAATGCTTAGGATTTAGAATAAAAAATATATAAAAATACTGTTAGTGACCTAACGTCGCAACACTGTATGTTGAATTTAAAAGTACTGTAGAATAGAGGATTCAATGCCGCGACCAGAGATTTCTGGCACCGCTGTGTTGTTAAGCCTAGTGCCACAACGCTACCAAGCAAAACACCAAAGTGTTCTAGTTCAAACATATATTCAAATTTCATTTTCAAATACTTTTCATATTTTGGATTATTACATATTGGGCCTTTTTCACACATTTCGAACCAATGCACATGTCACCTAGTCACAACTAAACTTCCCAGTATTTAATCTTGTGCACATTTTCATGCACTACGTAGCTCCACGCCACCAGCTACATGTAGTCTTACTACTCACTTTCCTCACCTGCAATCTCAATCGTAATTCACATGTCATGCACATATGTTGCCTTATTCAAGTGAATCACTTCCAGCCTACTACATCATAAAGTTTAAAAAGGCAAAATATGAAACTATGTGACGTAGAACGGAGGGATCCAAAATTTTTTTGAACAATTTCAGCTTTTGGTTTCCCAAAAAACCTGAGAGGATTCACTGCTTCTTTCTAGAGAAGTAACCCAAAGGGGAGGCTTTGAAAGTTTCAGCCAACAGCAGGAAGCTGAGGGAATTTGGCCAGCCACAGCAATCAGGATTTTGAAACCAAGGAAATAAGCTGCTATTACGGATGGGTTTCACAGCAATTTAATAACGGAGAGGGGGCGGCTGTGTAATGAGAGAGAAGGGGTGAGGGGGCGGTAATGAGGGGAGGAAAAGGGGCAGAAGGAAATCAGTTTCCAATTTGAATAATTCTGGAACGTGACAGGTTTGAGAAATTACATTGGGAAATCACCGCTGGAGCAAAAAGGGGAAAAAGGTAATAAATGTGAGTGAAGCCAAGGTGGGGGTGATTTAATTTGGAGAGTGATTTGAGGGAATTAATGTCTTAATTCTGAATTTAAATTCAGATTTGAGAATTAATGACGATTGGCTTAAATGGTGGGAGAGATTAATGGTGTGAAACGATGAGCGGGCGGGTGCGTCGGCAATGGTAGTAGGTGGGCGGGCAGTCTCGGGTGCGCGCGACCAACTGCTGGCACGCGCGGGCAGCTTTAGTGGGCGTGTGGGCAGTCACACGGTCAAGGGGCGGGCAGGGTCGGTTAGCTCTGCAGGCAGTCGGGCAGGGGCGGGCAGGTATGTGGGCAGCTGGGCAGACATTTTAAACGGGTTTTCGGGTTGACCCGACAACCCATCTGGTCAACCCGAAATTTTCGTGTTGGATTTGGGTCGGTTTTTCGTGTCGTGTCAAATATTGACACCCCTACTCTCTTGCAGGTGTGCTAGACCCGAAATTTTCGTGTCGGATTTGGGTCGGGTTTTCGTGTCGTGTCAAATATTGACACCCCTACTCTCTTGCAGGTGTGCTATACTGGAAATTCTAATCTAAAAATTTAAACTGTGATATGTTATAGTTGATATATCATACAAGAAAAGGTTTTTCTTTTAAATAATATTTTTATTAGGTATTAATTTGAGGTGTCGCTTCAAACACCTCCAACAAAAAAGTGCAAGCCTCACTCAATTTATAAAGGCATAACCATGGAGGCAATTTCTTAGCGACTTATAATGAGGAGCTCCTCAAGGCGTGTGCTAGAATGCTTTTTTAAATCATGATGTGTTGACATTGTGCTTCCCACAAACCTCCATGTAGCATCTCACTCCCACTGCATTGTGATTGCATTATTCATTCTTCTCATGCGACCTATTTGTAGTTCATTATTCAACCTATAAGGCACACGTTGCATCTCTTATTTCTTGCCTTACTACAAATCTAACCAACATTTGATCTTTTGTCCTGCTTGCCAACCTGCAGGAGGTAACTCCTCTCTGATCTCCTGCAGAACTTTCTTCTGGCCTTCATTCGCTTCTCTACCAAACTCCACTCAAACTGGAACCGTAGCATCTTAGTGTTGATAATAGCAATAGACTCCTTTACTGCTCATCGTTAATCATCACAATGACTAGTAGTAAAAGGATGATCTTTTACATGCATGAAAAATCACAATGTGTTGATGTTCGACTCTCATGAAGGTATAATCTCTTTCGATGTTTGGATAACTTTCATATATTAGATAAATTTTTAAACCTTGCATGAACAACTGATTAGTTAATTTCCATTAACAAGTAGCCTACTCATAGTCTAGCAACTTACCATACTAGATGAGAATTGCATGTGAGTGAATTGAGTGCTTCACCAAAAATTATGTTACTAGTACTACATAATCTTGAATTGAGTTTTAAAGTCTTTAAACTTGATTTTTATAGTGGAAGTAAATTGATTATTTTTACAGAGACAACCACTTAAAGTAAAGCTAGTTGCATATCATTTAGATATCTTGTTTAGCTGAATTTCTATATTGTACCATTGCTATTTCATTAATGGCACTAACTCCAAAATAAGTCTAAAATAATTTTGGTATGCATCTTGCATAAAATAATTATTTGAAAGAGCATATTACTAATAGCCTATGTGGCAATGAAAAAATTTTCCATATTTAGAAACTAAATTTGAACTTAGCAGTGATAGGCTTAGAGATAACATGACTGCTTTGAAATAAATGATTGAAAATTTGTTTGCACAAATTGATGCCAATGGGACATTTAGTAGTAGCTAGCTGCAATATGACCAAATCTTCCGCTTACCATCATTACTAATTCTAGAATACCTCATGATTGATTTGAGGATTTATATTGGTCTACTCAATGCACTTATCTTGCACAGGCAAATAGGTTTGTTTTTTCTTATCAACTCATGCTAGTAACAAGATTGTTGATCAGAATCATCCCGACCATGGAAACTATATAGACAAGCCCATGTAAAAGCACATGTTGCCAATTGCGATTGTTCCCCTGATTATCGTCATGATTCTACCCAAAAGATTAAGGTTGATGCTCCCACATTCGATGTTTTTCATGATTCCAAAGGATCAAGGTTGATTCTACCCAAAGTTCCCTAGCCTCGTTTAATAAAATCTACAAAGTCCTTATTGATGTTGGTCTTTAAAGCTCAATTGATCACTTTATCTTCATCTGCCTTCCATTCTCTATTACTGTGATCCTCATTGTGTATATTAATTACTTTATTCTCTCTGAAAATGATATTTATGATATTGATTAGATAAAATGGTATCTTCAGAGAAAAAAAAAAATCACACATGCCCAATGTACTTTCTCTGCATCGAGTTTGCTTGCCAAAGGAAAATTGCATGAACATATTTGAGAAATTGAGCTTCTTCGATGCGAGCTTGTTGACTCTCCCATGGATACCTAACAAACATCTAATAATAAAATTCTTCAAAGATATTTTTTTATTATTGACATTTAGTTGGCGAGCTTATCTATTTGATTGTCATCTGACTAGATATTTTCTTTGTTGTTGGTGTGATAAGTAGCATTTCTAAATCCAAAGAAGAAACATTGGATTGCTACCTTAAAGATTTTAAATATATGAAGAAGCCTTTGTGAAAATGCTCGACTTATCAAAAACACAACCATTTGAATATTAAAACTTCTACCGATGCTAAGTATTCTGTATTCTTTGAATATTTGAAGTCTTCTTCATGATATTGTGTTTTTATGGGAGGAAATCTTCACGGAGACGTGAAAAGTAAGTTGTTGTTGCTTGATCTTATGTTTTATGATGGTTTTTTTTTTTCATTTTTTCCTTCAAGCTTGATCTTATGTTGAAGCTGAATATATGACTATGACAAATTTTGCATGTGAAGTGATGTGGATCAAAAATCAAAAAAAGAATTTGGCTTTCTCATTGCCTAAACCATTGTGTTTCTACTATGATAGTTAGATAGCACCTTTATTTTTATTAAAGAAACAAACATTTTGAAGTAGATAGCACCTCAGTAGAGATTCGATTATATTTAAGAAGATTGTAACTCATGTCTCCAGCAAAAACAATTAACTAACATTTTTACCAAGACTCTAGGACCACCCTACTAGCTAGTTGGATCTTCTTGATTTATATGCTCTAGTTTTGGGGAGAGTTTTATCATATATATTTGACCAGATTGAAATTTATTAATTATTCAATATTTTTTCTTGATTCTATAATATATCCTCATAATTTACATTTTATTCTTTCTTTTTATTTCATCTCTCCCACGTAGTGGGACAGGCTTGATGTTGTTATTGTTGTTCTTATTTCATCTCTGTATTTGCTTATGTATAGTCACCTATATTATACTGAAAGATATCTAATAGTTTTCAATTTTCTTAATAATTTATATTCAGAATGATTTATTAAATTTATAAACATGATTCAAATGTGCACGAAAGTTGGATTAGAATTATTATTTTTAACATGACTTGAATTTGACCTGAGTCAATATATTGTTAATTTTGAGTTTAGGCCGATTCAGTCTACTTGAATCAATAGTACCTCTCTTACATTGGACAAAGCAGCATTTCCAGTACACATTTTCTGCACAAATCAAAATTTCCACGTACCAGTTAAAGCAATGCAAGATAAAAACGCATTCCCAAAAAAGCCTTAATTATCTTCTTTTATGTTACCTGATTCTTATATGGAACATTTAGGGTCTGTTTGAGTTAGCTTTTTCCGTGCTTTGTTTTCAGTCTACAATTATAATTCTGTTTAGCTATTATTTTCTCGCTATTTTCTCAAAATTTTTGTAGTAGGAAGCTGTTTTTAACAATGAAATTTGTTAATGTGGGGTAGTTATTAAAAAAAAAAAACTATTCAAGTTTTAAAAAACAAAACTATTCAAGTTTTTTTAAAAAAGAACCTATTCATAATTTCCACAGGAGCTTTAAAAAAGTTATTTTTCCTGTAATAACTTCACAACCAGTTTTATGTTACAACCATTCTAAATAGACCCTTGGTTGTTGTATTGCTGCTTTTATGTTCTATAATACACTTATAGATACCCATAATGCAGTGAAAGATGGCTTAACTTCGGGTGAAATTGCAGGTCTGATTCATGCGATTCCAATGCTTTATGTCGTTATTACAACAAGAATGATTTAATTTCTGTTATGGATGTCTTGAAATCAGAACCTTCTCCTTTTGACGAAATTAGAAATGCAATATCTAGATATTGGGGAATTCCTACTGAATACTCTTGTTCCAAGGGCCAATGTGAAGGTGAAATTCATAATATAAGTGAGATCAAAGCTGAGAAAATCCAGGGGAAACCACCATCTTTTTCAGAGGAAAATCATGGTTGCGATAGCTGCATTCGAGTAGGATTGGGGAGCACTGCTCCTGTGATTGAAAATTGTGATATTTCATATTCAATTCAGCCAAGCTCAGGAATCTCCATCCAACGTGAGGAAATGTCCAGTTTACCTGCTATTTTTGAACCAGTTGGTGATAAGTCGGATGCCACTTCTTTTTCCCACACTTATCTGCTACATGGCTTTGATTTTTCTATGAATTATACTATAAACCGAGCAGGAGTTGCATCGGTAAAACCAAATAGCCAAACTATAGACAAGGATGAAAACTTTCAGAACCCTGTATGGAATAGTACTTCTGAGAAGAAGAAAGGTGGCGCTTCTCAGCTGCAATCTAATCATTTAAGTTATGTCAACTATTATAGTTTTGGTCAGGTTGCTGCAGCTATAGCTGAAGAGTTCACCAAATCTTCAGAGATCATTAGTAAAGATTCCTTGAAACCTGATGAAGTTATAAAATCAGATCAGCTGAAAGCCATTTATAAGAAATTTACACAATGGAGTTGGTATAATTATTATAATCTAACGGTGGCAATACAAAAGGAGGACTGTGGTTGGTGTTTGGCTTGTAGAAGCTCAATTGATGCTGAATGCTTACTTAAAGTTGTTAATGAGAAACATCTAGAGAGCATTAAGTTCAATCTTGAAGATTCAACTAGCCTTACATGTGTGGACTCTGGAAAAAATAAGAAAAACCACATAATTTTTGCTATGCATCTTATTTTATCGATTGAAGATCGTGTTCGCAGCCTTCTTTCGGGTCCATGGGAGAAGCAGCATTATAGTGAACAATGGCGTAAGGCTGTCATCGAAGCTTATGATGTTACTTCCCTTAAATTCCTGCTTCTTTCTGTAAGTGAACTCATATTTTATTTGCTCGGGCCTATGTATACTATTTTATTGATGATTCACATTTTTTCATATTGTTTTCAACCTTTTTACCTGGAGTGCTATGATTGATGCTACTGTTCTGCAGTTAGAATCCAATTTGAGGCGTGTTGCTCTCTTAGCTGAATGGCTGAAACCAGTGGATTCCGACCAGACGGTTGGTTCTGCTTCTTTTAAATTGACAGGTCCAGTTCGTACATCCAAATATATAACACATGATAATAATTTTGATAATGGTGGTAAATGTGATTTTGCCCCTTGTTTAGACTTTCACTGGTGGAGGGGTGGGAAACTATCACGGCAGTTGTTTTGCTGGAAGATGCTGCCTCGATCATTGGCTTCCAAGTGTGGTCGTCAAGGTTAGAAATTTTTAGCTCGTGATTTGTTATCTCGTCTCCAATCTGGATAAGGCGTTTCTGTGCTTAGGTAATTATGTAAACTGCTCCACAGAAAATTATTTTTCTTGAACCTCTTGCAGCTGGGCGTAAGAAGATTCCAAACTTATTTTACCATGATGGTTCAGAGTTTGCAAAGAGAAGCAAAAGTATTTCATGGCGAGTTGCTGTTGAGATGTCTGAAAGTATTGCCCAGCTCATATATCAGGTAGCCAAATTTTTTTCAAACCAACGGATTAACAACTCAAATCTTTTGGTGAGCCTTTTGTTATAGTTTTTTAGCCTCGGAAATCCTTTCAGGTAAAAGATTTGGACTCAAACATAAAATGGACAGAAATTTTAAGCACTCACCTTTTTCCTCAGTGCACAAAAGAGTCTACGAAAATAGAAAAGCTATTTAAGCAGGTACTGGTGCGGAGGAAGTGTGTTGAAGGAACAGAAGTAAAATATCTTCTTGATTTTGGCAAGAGGGAGACAATTCCTGCAACTGTTACCAAGTATGGGGTATTATTTGAGGAAAGCTCTGATAAGAGGAAAAGATTTTGGTTGAGTGAACCTTATGTTCCACTGAATTTAATTAGTGCTTTTGAGGAGAAGAAGTTATCTCGCTCATCCAAGAAAAAAGATTCTGGACAAACTTGTGAAAAGAGAAATACATTTACGATGAAGAAAAACAGAAAATTCAAAGGACTTTCCTACCTTTTTTCAAGGGTGAGGAACTCTGAAAAGCATTGCTGTGGCCACTGCAACATGGATGTTCTAGTCAGGTATGATTTAAGGCTTTGTATTGGTTGTATGAATTTAACTAATTTTCTTATGCATGGCTGTTCAACTTAAATTAATGGAAACATTTTTGACTCAAAAGCCTTTACTAGTAGTGCCTTCCATTGAATTTTGGGGATTCATGAAACTACTAAAAATTAATCTAGGCTTTTGAAGCTCGCTGGAGTCTAAAGGTTTTTATTTGAGTAGATCTAAAACCGAATACATGGAGTGTAATTTTAGTAGTAATAGATCTAGTAGGGGGATTGTGACTTTGAGCGATCAAGTCATTAATAAGAGTACATGTTTTAGATATATTGGGTCTATTGTCTAGAGTGATGGTGAAATAGATGGGGATATTATTAGTATAGTTCAAGTTGGATGGTTGAAGTAGAGGAATGCATCGGGCTTGTTGTGTCATAGAAAACCTCAAACATAAGGGAAAATTCTATAAGATGTTGGTGAAACCTGCAATGCTTATGGTATAGAATGTTGGCCATTAAAAAAGAAATATAATATTAAGTTTAGTGTTGCAGAAATGAGGATGCTTAGGTGGATGAGTGGCTTTACTCTTAAGAGATAGGATATGAAATGAGCATATACGTGAAATGTTGGAGTAGCTCTTGTGACAGATAAGATTAGAGAGAGTCGCCTTAGATTGTTTGGTTACATAAAATGGTGGCCTTCCGATAACCCGGTTAGGAGAGTAGATGCATTAATTTTTTTTATGTTAAGAAAGGTAGCGGTAGACCTAAGAAGACTTGGTTATAAAATATTAGAAATGATATTTTTTTATTAGATTTAAAGGAGTATTTGACTCTTAATAGGGTACAATGGAGAACAAGGATTCATGTAGCTGACTCCATATAATGGGATAAAGGATTGATGTTGTTGTTGTTGTTTTGAAGCTCGCTACTTATAGTAAAATCAGTCTGTGAATGGTTTAAACTGATTTCCATGCAAAATGATACATTGCTACATTCCTCATCTATTATTACTTATTTACATACTTTCCAAGTTATCGCCATCACTAGAAGCTCCATTCCGTTGTGCTCAACCTTCATTGATTTGGTTAGGCTACTCACGTTTTCTATAAGACTCAATTCATATAACTGGATTCAAAGACGAGAAAACATTTATGTCCCCATCTATGATTTACTACTATGATGCTCCATTCTGAAAGCCTTCTCAAGATAATTTTTCCACTCTTCTTAATGGTTGAAGATTCCAGCTAATAGCTCTTCTGCCGAATCAGTTAGTATGGATTTAGATATTTGTTATGAATATTTCAACTTGTTGGTGATGGCCATATAAACTTTCTTCATGCCTGCAGAGATGTGATAGAATAATCTGTATTTCTCCTTTAAACCATTGAGTTGCCTTGGCTATGCCTAGTTAGCAAGGCTAAATGAAATGCTGGTTTTTATAGATATCCTTTTATACCTTCTTGGCCCCATGATCATGATTATTTGATTGACCCTAGATTAGTCGATATTTCTTTATGCATTCTTTGAACTTGTGTGTGACTTGCAACTGGTTATCTTTTGATTATCAACTTGCTTAGCTAATCCCACCTTTTTTTCTGTATCTTTCAGGGAGGCCGTGAACTGCCGCAGTTGTGATGGTGTGTACTTTGACTCTTTTGTGACCCTTCTAATCCAAACATAACCTAAAATGTTCAAGTTTTAAGCTTTTGTCAAATCAATTTACTTTTTTACAAGATACTGCATTTTTTTTTTCAATTTTTGAGATCTGTGGAATGGCAACAATTTAGAACTGATTAGTTGTCTTCATTAAAACAAATAATTTATTTTACCATTTTATGCTCTCTTATTGTCTAAAAATGGGTACCAAAGGTTTGAGGTTCTAGCTACTTTTTGGGGAGGGCTTGTTAGCTGTACCATCTCCTATTCAAGTTTAACGTTGACTAGTATTCTCTGTCTACAAAGAAAAACCTAAGCGGAAGGACAATGAATATTTTTATAAGAAACTGCATGCTTAAGCTTCTTTTTTGTTGAAATTTGTAGCTTGAAGACTATGTTGACAATGTACATACCGAATTTAAATTTATTTAAATTAAATTCGTTATATTTTTATAAATTTGAATTCAGTATATTGGTTGTTTGAGATAAAAGTTCAGACCATCCAAGTAAGTCCTTGATTTTTTTTACTGAAGCATTAATAGGTTTTATAGATGGACTAGATACTGGAGGTTTAAGGAACAATTTTTTTCTTCATATCTTAATTATTTTCTGAGATACCTGTTGTCCATTTTGTATAAATTGTTCTACTAGAATTTTATTACGTGCATTCAAGTAATTCAAACGTAATTACCAATGCTTCCATGTTATATGGTTATGTGCTGACGTATTTATGAATAATCTATTCCGGGTTAGGTTTGCTAATTGTTGCTATAGATTCTTTCTTATTTTTCCATAAACAATCAATTAACATAGGAGGAATGACTCAAAACAATTTTATAGGATAGCTGTTTGGGTGTACATGTAGTTCTCCTAGTGCTGATAGGGTGAGCTAAGTTGTATTTATTTTGAAGTGGTGATTTGGATGTACTCCAATTAGGTTCCCTATTTTTGTTCGATTGCTTGTTTGTGTCACTAGATACGAGGCTTTTCCATGAAGGTAGGAAAAATCTCCTTCATGTACGTCCTATGCTTGTTCGGGAGTTTCTATGCCTTCACTTCCAATTTGTGCAAGTGTATTTGTGCATCTCTGCTTCTTTGTCTGAATGATTCATATCCTTGCATGTCTTTCGTGGCAGCCTATCATTTTTGCTTGCATGTCCTTTCTATGAATTTTTTTGTATGTTATTCGTGTGCATCTTTATGGCTTCTACATGCTTAAACCACCCCAATCCATGCTTGTGACCTTCTCAGTTTATTAGCCACTTTCTTTGCTTATGACCTTATTTTCACCTATCTAAATGTGTGAATGAACTTATCCGCTTGTCTCTTTTATTGTAAACTTTATATTGGATCACGGTGGTTGACTCTATTTTGATATTTTTAGAAGATGTTTTGTGATTATAGGGTTTTGTCATTATTCACTTGTTTCTTTTGTTATAAGTTTTATATTGGATTAGGATGGTTGATTTTGTTTTGATATTTTATGGGAAGTTTTGTGATTATAGATATTATTTAAAATTGTGCAAGGCGAGCGTCATCATAATGCAGGTGAAAACCATCTTGAGGCACATGCCTTGAGTGGTTTAGTTGAGGCGTATGCTTCACAATTGCTTAGGCATGCCTTGCCTTAGAAGTTCAAGGTGTACACCTCAAACAAAATATATATATATAGAAAGTGTTTGTGTTTCATAGAATAAAAAAAAATATTCTAGAATCTAAGATGCACCGAATAATAACATTCAAGCTCCTTGTAGATGCACTTAGATTAGTTGATTTGATGGCTTGCTCATGACATCAAGAACCTCTTAGAGTTGTTTTTCATGATTAATGAGCACAACTCTTCGATATCACTATTTTCTTCATATGTTTTGCTTTCACTCTCTTAAAATAATCTATTATCTTGGGCTTATATATGCAGATGTCCATGTGCGTCAATTTACTTTTAGGCATTTTGTGCACTGCTGCACAAACGCTTATGCACCTGCATGTGCTCCTAAAGGTATGTCCATGGCATGGTTATAGGTGCCATGGTAATTAAATGTGTGATACTATATTATCTAAAATGCCACTATAAAATCACTGCAGTTTGTGGAAGAGAACGAGAATTTTACCTCTATATTTCTTTTCTTATATGCACCATTTTTCTGCCTTAGTAATATGTGCATCACTTAGCACTTCATTAATTGATGCGCGCAAAGTTGCAATCATCAGCTGGTATGGACTTCAGTTTTGCAATTGAATCCTTGGTTTGGTTTGACTTTCCAAGATGGATACATCGATTAAATTTAAATATCATAAGGTATTGATTGCTCAATCACTGATGGGAAAACCCTTCCTGCGCTTTAGATCTAAAATAGCCTATTTTCTATTCATTTTCTCCTATAATTGTTTTACATTTGCTTAATTTCCTGCTTTTCCTTTTATCTTATATTGCAAGTAGGAAAATTTTGCAGCAGTTAAATGCATTGTTCATTAAAGTTTACTAAAATTTAGCATGTTGTGCAGCATACTTGTCACGATCCTTGACTGATTATTGTTATCATGTGTAGGGTTTTTTCACAGAAAACATTTCAGGGTGCCAAAAGGTGCGACTGTGACTACCTACACTTGTTCTAAATGCAAGGAGAAAGAAACTGCAAATGTAAAACCTACAACTCATAAAGCAGCTGGCTTGAAAAGAAAGGCTTCCATGGCTAGGAAGGGAAAACCGGTCTCCATGTCTAAGAAGTCAACGGAAAATGGGGCTTCTCTGGGTGAGAAATCAAAGGAAAATATGGTTTTCTTGATTAAGAAGTCAAAAGAAAACAAACTTATTATTTCTAAGACGATCTCTTTGGCCAAGTCAAGGGAAAACCAACAATCCATGGCTAAGAAGTCAAATGAGAATTCTTTCTACATGGCTGGAAGGTCAAGGGAAAATATAGTCTCTATGGCAGTTCAGTGCAGGAAAAATCCTGTCCGTATGGTCCGGAAATTGAAACAAAATGCAATCTCCATAGCTAAAAAATCAAAATTAAGTCGTACAAAATCTAAAACAAAAAATGCTATAATGAAAAGAAAAAAGAAAATAGTTCGAAGAAAGGGACAAAGTATTTCATCTAAAAATGCAGAATCCTTGAAATCGGATAATTTTATAAGCTGGTGCAAGAAGAAGAGATCTGTTCTGCATCATTCCTATTGGTTAAATGGCCTTCTATGGGTAAAGGGGCCTTCAAATGAAAGAGGAAGGTCTTTCAGAGAAAGGAAGGTTTTCTTTCGGATTCAATCTGCAGAAGACGTCTCTGCAAAACCCAAGTGTTGTCTTTGCCGTGAAGATTACAATACTGGAGATTTTTTTATTGGTTGTGAAAACTGTGAAGGTAAACCAGTTATTTTAACATGCTAATTAATCATATTCATTAATTTTCTTGGTGAACATTTAGTGACATAAAGCTGAGTTATCTTTTAGGATGCTAGAGGTGGTAGCTGACTGAATACAAATGTCAAATATCTCTGCGGGGTCTGTTTATATTTTACTATTCACAGCTGGAAATTAAACCTACATATTTTTGCTTCAATGTCCAGTTTCTTACATCTATTTTTAGATTATTCTGTATGGTGTGCTTGCAACTCAGTTTCTGCCTATGAATTCACATTACCTATTGTCATGGTTACTGCAGATTGGTTCCATGGTGAGGCCTTTGGCCTTGAGCTCGAGAGAGCCAGCAATCTGGCTGGGTTTAAATGTCCTAAATGCCGCAGGAGAAATGTTCCAGTGTGCCCATTTTCACTAGATCCAACGAGCTGTGATGTTAGGATAAGAAAGGGTTGCAATGTTGCTGGTGAGACTGTGGATGTTCAGCAAAAAAAATGCGAAGGAAAGTCGCAATGTGCTGCTTGTGAATATTGCCTTGATTTAGTTCCTTGTGAAATTCATTCAGAGATGAAAAGAGAAGTTGTCCCTTCACATTGTCAAGATGAAATTGTCTTGTCCGATGAAATTATTTCAGACTGGTCTAGCACTGTGAATCCACCTGGGCATGAAGAAGAAAATTTTGTACTTCCCAATGACGAGAGTGTACTTAAAATAAGATTGAAATCATGTAGTATAGATGAGAGTATGAAAAGGACATCAAGGTCCCCCAAAGAGCTTTTATCTGGACTTGATCTCTTTCAGAGCCACACCTAGAAGACAATGTTTTCAGCATGCCTCATTAATTATGAAGGTACCAATATTTAAGTAATCATTACCTTTAAGTACAATCTGTACAACTTGCTTATCTTTGGATATTCATTATTCATTATCTATTATTTACAAATGTGTTTTGTGTGCGCCTCTATTTTGTTTTTATTTTTTTTATGTGGGTGTGCGGGAGCTTCATATTTTACGTTTGGAAGCTTATATATAGCCTTTTTTTTTTACTTAGCACGTAATTTATTTTTCAATATTTAGGTTCTCAATAGATTTGATGCATGTTTTTTCTGAGGCCAGCATTTTCTTACACTTATGTTCAAATTCAGTCAAAATACTGATTTAGGACAATAGATATTGTAAAACTGCCTTTCATAATGTAGAAAATAAAGAAATGATGAATGAGAGCTAAAAGGTCACTAACTTGATCAGGAGGGAGAGGAAAGCATTCACTGCGTGAGGTTGATTTATCTAGTAGAAAGAAATGAATGAATGGCTGTCACACCTAATTGCAAGATCCTTTTTTACTAGAATTTTAAAATTGTGTTTTCTTTTCTTTTGCATGTTATCATAGAAATTAAATGTGTAAGACGACTAAGTATCATAGAAGTATTTAGTTACTCTTGATTAATCATAAGTCTACTCCAAACTAAAATGGTATCAAAGCATCGTGAAAGAGTTGCCTAAGGTTCCTAGCAAACATAGATTGGTTGGAAAATTAGAGCAAAACCACATTTCCCAAGGAACTTGATGGCATGGGTGGTAGTATCTAGATCTGCAATGACCAATAGAAACAATTCCTTTCCTTTTCTTTGTAAGTATGAGAAGAATTCCTTTCCTACTATGGTCGACAATAATCAAGACTTACCCAACTCCTTCCAAATGACCATTTTCGAATTGAATGTTAAAACTTATTTGGAATGGTCTCAGACCGTCAAATTAGTGATTGATGGAAGGGGAAAATTGGATTACTTGACTGGTGAAGCAAAAAACCAACCACGAATGATGCAAAATTCAAGACATGAAGATTAGAGAACTCTTTAGTGATGACTAGACTCCTAAATCTGGAGGGAAATCTTGCAAAAACCTATATGTTATTTCCAACTGTGAATGATAGTTGGGATGTTGATGTAGGACTAAGATGCGTTTAATGAATGCAATAAGAATTTGCACCATTCCTTTGATAAGAGCGAGTATGATTAAAACTATTAGCAATTTAAAACAACAAAGTAAAATGAGAAAGGGGTTCCTATGCTTAGGCTAAACCACTTGCCAAAAGACTGACTTAGAATATCAATAAATTTGAGAGAGGGCTTTAGTTTATTTCCAATAGGATATATTCCTCTTTGGAAATAAATTAATTATGTGAACTTAGGAAATTTCGGCCAAAGGAGGTGGGCTGGAAATTAGGAATTGTTTCCAAGAGGAGTTTAAGAGATTTAGGAAATAAATCCTTTGGTGATCAATAAGGGGCCGGTGGCTTTAATGGGGTGGAGGTGGAATTATGGCAAGTGAATATGTCTTGATTAATAGAGAGATATTAATTAGGCAAGGGAAATTAAATCTCCTTTAATCAAGTATTGATTTGAGGATGAGGTTTAAGACTTTCTTAAAATAGATTTCATATTTTAGAAAGATTTTGAATTTCAAATCACTTGGATTTTGAACTCAAAATTAATCATAATTTTATTCAATCTATATTAGGAAATAATAAAAAAAAGAGGGGCCGGCGGCTTTGTGTGGAGGGGTGGCCAGTGGTTGTGGTGGTGTGTGGCGTCAACGTATAAGATGTGGGTCCGGTGATGGATGGGCCGGCAGTTCAAGATCTCGGGTGGAGCTTGGACCGTGGGTGGGTAGGGAAGGGGAAATTGGGCCGGCGGTGGTAGAGGGAGGAGGAAGGGAAAGAGATAGAAATTAAAACCACAAACCCGACTAGTCTAGGTTGGTAGGTGATGCGCAATTCTCCCTCTTCTAGGGATCTCACTCCGATCTCTCAAGCTCTCATAAGAACTCAAAACATGTGGAAATTTTTTATCATTCAATCATTAACATGAAAAGAGAACAATGAGGCTATATATAACCTCGTACAAAAACTCAAGAAAATAAAAAGACGACAATGCCCACTGGGCTTTACAAACGACCTCCCTTAAGTAAGGCATAAAAACGGAAACACTAATAAAGCAAATACAACACGACATAATAATAAAGAAAATAAATAATACAAATCAGAAATACATTGACTCAATCGTGGCCTTAGATCGACGGCCACGTCTCTGATAGACTTTCCACGCTCTGATGTCCTCATCATATGTTATTTGTGAAACTTTTAATATTAAAAAAACTCCTATCAGATGTTTAAATTAAAATTAAGGCTTTTAAAATTTAAACTAAGAGAGTGGGAAGTTACCATCTATTATAATGAAATGGTAGCGGTTTGTCTAATGTTGGATCAATGCTATGATGCTTAGGAGAGCCTAAATGATTGTGCAAACTACAAAAATAAAGAGAGGGAAATTACCGAGTTTACATATTTTTTGCTAGAATATACTGCAATTTAGATGAAGTAAAGGTAAGGATCTTAAGTAGAATACCTTACCAGTCCATAAATGAAGTTTTTTCTGATGTCTAACAGGAAGAATGCATAAAGAAGGAAATGATGTGGAAGATAACACCCAAAATGTATTCTAAGATTGAAAATTTTGCAATGTTCTCTAGGGGATTAGTGTTGAAGGAGAAAGAATGAAAAAAAGGTATGAATACTACAAAAAAAGTTATGGCACACAGGAGATGTGATAGAAAATTCATGGAAAATAACACTTGAAGAAGAAACCCTATGACAAGACAGTTTATACCATGAATGAAGAACCCCATCACCAATCCATTTACTTAGAAATGTCACCTTTCACAAAGGAATAAATCGAGCCCTTGCAAATTCTCTTGAAGTCTCCAAATTCCCCTACACCTTCCTTTTCTTTATCATTATAAGTTAATGGAATTGCTTTTTATCCATGAAAGTTAGGGGTGTCAATTTTAGGTCACGGGTCGGGTTCGTGTTGAACTCGGAACTAACCCAGCACTATTCGGGTCAACCCGAACCCGACCCGTTTTTGCAAACTGGTCTATTTTTCGAACCCGAAATCAACTCGCTTCGGGTTCGGGTCAACTCGACCTGACCCACGACAAATGGGAGTCACGATGCGACAGCAACGTGCAAACGGAGTCGTCCACGCGGGCAGGCGGGTCATCCACGCGCATCGTCTGTTCGTCATGGCAACGACACTGCGGTGCAGGCGGGTCATCCACGCGCATCGTCTGTTCGTCATGGCAACGATACTGTGGTGCGGGTCGACAGCCGCTGCAGCGGCAGCTCGATCGCAAGTCGCAACCCTTGTCATGATCTCGGTAGTTCGGCGCGGCAGCGGCACTGCGGGGACAAATTGTGTTGACGGACGCGACACGACATTGGTGACAGGAGAATTGACGAACCCGAAGTGAAGGATGCGAGTTTCGGGTCAGACGGATGCGACATGAGGTAAGAGACGGAATTTTGGGTCAAACCGGGTTGATGTTGGGTTTCCGGGTCAACCCAAATCCGACCCGATTTTACAAACGGATTGAAATCATGAACCCGACCTGATTCGGGTTCGGGTCAACCTGAATCCGAAATTTTCGAGTCGGGTTCGTGTCGGGTTTTCGGGTCGTGTCAAATATTGACACCCCTAATGAAAGTGAGCTACAAAAACCACGGGGCATTGATTATAGAGCAACTGATCACATGATAGGTCACTCACATATAGTTTTGTATACTTTCTACTGACAACAAAAAAAATAAGGTTATTGATGGTTACTTCCTGAGTATGGCTGCACTGAGTTCAATTCAAATTTCTCTCATACTAACTCGTCATAATGTTCTCATGTTCCAAAATTATCATAAAACCTTTTATCTAATATTAAATTAACTCTTGATTACCATTTCATTTTAATTTGTATCTTTCTTCTTTTGAGTTTTAAGAACTAGCTTCGAGGAGAATAATTGGCAATGCCTAATACTTTGAGGAGAATTTTGAATATACTTATATTTTTGGTAATCGTGAAATAATGTTGCGGCATTATTGACTTGGTTACCTTAATTTTTAGCTCTTAAAACAATTATTTCCAAATCTGTTACCCTTTTTTTTAAGAGTGAAAGTTTTCCATTAGCAAAGAAATATTGTGTTCCACATTCTCCATAATCTTACAAATCATCAAGCCCATTTTCTGTAATTCACAATGATGTGTGGGATTCATCAAGGATTTCTACTCTGTCGGAATTTTTTTTTTTTTTTGTGATGACCATATTATGATTTGTTAGGCCTATTTACTTAAAAAGAAGTCAATGGTTTAGGAATTTTTAGAAAAATCTATGCTATCTCACACATAATTTTCCCAAAAAAAAAAAAAAACCATATTTTTAGGAGTGACAATGACAGAGAATTTTTAACAAAGCTTTGAGTTAGCTTTTCTTACAAACAAAGGATTAGATATTCTTAAAAAAAGGGATTATTCATATAAGTTCTTGTAATGATACACGTTAAAAATAGAATTGCTAAAAGAAAAATTAATCACCTATTGAAAGTAGCAAAAACTCTACACTTTATCGATCATGTGACAAAATATCTATGAGGTAACACCATACTAATTGATAAATATCTCATGAATGGGATGCCCACAAAAATTTTGAAGTTTCAATTTCCTGTACATATGTTTCAAAAATCTTTTTCTTCAGGTTTTTATCCATTAAAATATTTTTCATTTATTTTCACAATCATGATCAAAATCATGGGAAAATAAAGAGTTGTTTTTTTTTCCATTGAATTCTATTGTGAGCTTTCCAAAAAAAAAAAAATAATAAAGACTGGTGCATCATAAAAATTGGTGAGCCTATGAGTATTTTGCTACTCATGCTGGAGTTTATGCATATGCATTTGAGCTTCATTAATATTATAGTTTAAAATTGGATCCTCAAGTGTCACTTGTGCTTGAAGCTGGTATCTTGCAGTTCTCTAACTGTAAATATGAGACTCTAAATTTATCATGTTTGATCCGACTTTGATAATCCCTCATGTTCCTTTAAATGTTTTTTTAAACCGCACTGTCCGTAATATCTTCAATCGATTTTATGTTTTCAAACTTTCCAAGACCACCACATAGCATTCATTCTCTTGTAACTCTTTTCTAGTTGCTTGTGTTGAATTGAAATGTAAATTAATCTAATGGCTCTTGACTTTCTTTTATTTATTTTTTTTGCATAATTGCTAGAGAGATTAATATGTACATGCATGATTATTCCGTTGTTAAATATCCAACTTTTGGTAATGGAAGATCTGAACAGTTAATCCGCTCGATATTTCGAGCTTCTAGGTCGGGTCACGACGAGATTGGTATCCGAGCGATGGTCACATTGCTGCTCATTTCTTAGGCACAACTTTTATCTGTAAATACTATTTGGTTTTGTTCTGTAACACACTTCTCCTGTCATCAATGTCAAATTAGAAATGAACCATCAGCATGAATTGTATGCTGGCATTTAGAGAATTAGAAATGATTGTTAGAAGTTTGACCAATTAAAGATTTGATTGTATTCCTACAACATTTAAACTTTTTAAATTTGAAATCGGGCATCTCCCCCCATTAAGTTGGAGCACACTTTATTGATTTCCATAGGTATTATATGCTTGATTTTTACTAGAAATGATATGTAAAGGGAAATTTTTGTTATGTAGCTTCTGGAATCTATTAAATTCTATATATCTATGCAAGCTAAAAACCTTGTAGTATCTTCTGTCATCATCCCTTTGTGGATAGTTGAAAAGGAATGCTAACTTATCTTTTGGCAAAGTCTTTTTAATTGCTTAGCTTGGTTTCTTCATTTATTCGATTTATTGGGCCAACCTTTCTGATTTAGGCTTCATTTGGGATGGCTTTTTTACTGCTTCTTGAACCAGCTTTCTAGTTAAAAAATTAAAATTTTTGTACTTAAAAGCTATTTCAAGAAGTAAAAAAGCCGTCCCAAACGAAAGCTTTGTATATAAATTTAAACCAAGGCTGTTTTACCAATTTTGATTGAACTGTTTTTGTGGTAATGGATATTTACAAGAACTATTTGCCCAGCACAATCATGCCAACATGACCCTGTTGGATTGCTCCATGATGATCATCAACCTCACATGTCAGTCCTGAAAGGGTTTATGGCATATCAGATTGTAATGGAAACATTTATAATGGATGATGTGCTACCTAACATTTTTATCCTATTATATTTACATATTGTGTTGTTAGAAGTAGAAATAGATGTGGGCGAAAGAAATGTTATATTTGTTTGGGACGGCTTTCTTCCTACTTCTTAAAGCAATTTTCTAATATAAAATTTTTTTGTATTAAAAAATTGCTTTAAGAAGCAATAAGAAAGTCGTTCCAAATGATAACTTTCTTACTGTTTCTTAAAAAAAAAATTTGGTACAAAAATTAAAATTTTTGTTCTAAAAAGATGTTTTAAGAAGTAAGAAAGTCACCCCAAACAAAGCCTTAATCTCCCCATAATAACAAAAAATACTTTATGGCTTTTTCAGCACTGTATTATTTGTGATACTCTTACAAGCATTAGGCTCCATGTTAAGAGGTGCTTTTCCTTTCTACTTTTTGTAGAAATTGCTTATACTTTTAAGTTTTTTTTTTTTTGTTTATGTTTTTATAACTTCTTGGCAAATTATTTGATTAAACTTGTAAAACTGAAAAATCAAACCGATTTGTTCTTTTTTGGTTGATTCAGTTCAGTTTTTTTATTGTAAAGCTTTTGTTATTTGATTATTGATAATTGGGATTGATTTTGATCTTCATAAAACCAATTTGATTATTGCATTATTTATAAAATGATATATGTGACATATATGGATATGGACAAAATTTATGATAATTCTGAAAATAAATTACAAATATAATTATTTTATGTTTTGTAATGAGCAAGAACAATATTTAAAAACAATGTATCCACTAATTCATATGAAGCCATAAAGTTGGCCCAACTAGAAACAGAAACTAGAGTTGTATGCATTGTATGGATAAAAGTAATCAATTAGATTTTTTTTTTTGCGACATTTATGTCATTTAAGGCAAATTCACACCCACAACGTATACACAGACTCGAACTTTAGACCTCTTAATTGGAAGCCTAAGTTCTCAACCAATAGGCCAAGGAGAGTTGTGTTAATCAATTAGAATCATTCAATACTATTTGAGGCTTTATCGGCTCTTTCAATATATTAGAAATAATTTATTAATAGAAATTTGGCAAGCAAAGATTTTAATTAAATCTTTAACCGTCTGTTCCTATCTTATTAATTCGAGCTTATAGACAGGATCTCAAAATGTTGGGACTAATAAAATATATAATTGATGAGGCCTAGAAAGAACAAGTGTGTGAATAAAAGTAAAACTCATTGATGATCATTGCATAGGGCCGAAGCAAATGAACCAGTAAATTAAAAATGCAATTTTTTTGACTTTGTAATACGCTCAAATGAAATTTTGAATTAGAACAGTAACTGATGCAAAATGAGGTCATACCAACAAAATTTATCTTAAACTTGCCATAGTTAGGCTTCATGGTTCTTGCTCTTGGCAGTGATATGCAACTTATGCCATCATGAGACTCTCAATCACAGCTTGAACCTTCTCAGAAGCTTGACAACCTTGCAGAGCTTGAAGATCAAAAGAAGTCTTACATGCTTGGAGATAATAAAGGAAGAGGTACACTCATGGAGTAAATTACACCTTGGTCCATAAGCTAAGAATTGGATAAAGTTGCAAACCCTACTTTTTTTTTGGGCAGGTTAAGGGATTCGAGTGTGGGCAGCGGGAAGGACTTTTCGTCTGTCAACCAATGAGCCACACTGCTCGATCCCACAAACCACTACTTAAATTTCCTTACTAGTTCCCTCAAGGTTTCAAAAAGTTTATTGTAGCTTCTTTAATTCAATCAAAAGATACGTAGTAATATAATTTATGTTAGTTGGATTTGCAGTCAACAAGACTTTTTTACTTTCTTTCCTTCCTCTTTTGTTAATATTTCATTGATATATAGGATTCCTACTATGTACTCATCAATTCATAAACTATTGTGATTATTTTTTTATTAGTATTTTGCTAACTTATGAATTATTATAATTATTATGTAATGTTGATTCCCTAATTTTGTTTGTTTTTACTAGAAGCTTTTCTAGGATTGTAACATTGATGTGAAACTGCTCGTGATGTGCTCTGTTAGGTTTTCTGGATGGCGCTCTTTTTTCCGTCGCTGTGTTCGTGCTCTCTGAGCATCTCAGGGAAGTTTCGTGTCCTAATTCCTTGTGTTTTTCGTAGTTTTTGTGACTCTTTTTTGCTTTCCGTCTCTTTGTCTTTTCGATGGAGGGCAAACAACTTAAAGATCCCGATTTTTTGGTGGGCAATCCCTCTTCTGGGTCCTTTTGTGATGCTTTATCGGGTTGTTGTTGCTCTTCTTCTTCTAATTTTCCAGAACTCAAAATCTATTCTTTTCATGGGATGCCTTCGCTACACTACAGGAAAACCCGGTATTACCGGCGGAATATATCCGCCAGTAATACACAAAATCCGACGGAAATCCTTGGTTTCCGGCGCATTTCCGTCGGAATTTGGTACGCCGATTTGGTGCGCGTCAAAAAATATCTTCCGACATTTATAAGACACCGGAAACCTTTTCGGCGCACTCTCCGACGCATTACCGGCGTAAAATGTGTTAGCCAAAACGTCGTTTCTCAACAGATTATACCGTCGTTATATACGCCAGAATTTACGACGTACATATCCCCTGGAAATACCAGCGGCTAAAACGTCGTAAGTTCGCCATAAAGAAAGCTACGACTTGTTTCCGGCGCAATTTATGCGCCGGAAACACCGGCGGATAAGATGCCTTAAGGTGCGCCGTCACTAAAGCTACGAATAGTTTCCGGCGCATTTTCCGCCGGCATTTCCGACGGAAAAAAAACGCCGGCATGGTTGTGACAAGATCAACAATGGCCATCATAAGACATAGACATATTTTTAATGATTTGAATATAAGCGCTATTAACTTTTTTTTTTTTTTTTTTGCAAGAAATCTCACTAGCACTCCTCTTTGAAGTTTATCATATGCTTTCTCTAAATCAACAAAAAACATATGTATATCCTCCTTATTCTCTCTATATTTCTCCATCAAGTCTCTCAATAAAAGCATGGCTTCCATAATAGACCTACCCAGCATGGAATAACATGAAGAAAAAAAATGTTACAATGGACAAAATCTGGAGGCGGCAGAAAATCGGGAGGCGGCGGAAACTCATGGTCGAATTTTGGGAAACTGGTCTCCTTTCGCCAGCGACGAAGGCGGTGATCGTCGGCGACGTCCCGTGAACGTCTATAAAGCTCGGTGACGGCGATCTAGGGTGGGCGATGATGGGGCGACGAGAGAGAGACCGAAGATGCGAGAGAAAGAGCGGAATGAAATGAGCAGCCATATGGGTTGTGTTCAAAAATAGGGCTTTCGCCCGCGGATTTTCTGGCGTCCCGGACGTCGAAACATTTTCCGGCGCACGTTTTTTCGGTTCCAAGTCATTGAGTTTAAAATAGACGGCGTATTTTCCGCCGGTAAATGCACCGGACATTATCCGCCGTAAACTACGCCGGTAATAATGAAAAGCTGCTAATTACCGACGTTACTGCCGGCGCAATGGACGTCTGCAATATTCCGTCGCAAACCGCGCCGGAATAAACGCCGTTAAAATTTCGTCGCATTATGTGCTGGTACAAACGCCGTATTTATCGATGCAAAAAATTCCGCCAGAACATCCGACGGTATTCGCGTGTTTTCCTGTAGTGCTATGGATTTCTGATGAGGAAGTTTTGGCACTTGCATCTCCCTTTGAGTTTGCTTTAGTGGGCAAATTTCTTTCTCGTAGACCTATGCTACGCTTGAGGCTATTCGTAATTTCTTCTTTAACCTCAAGCTAAATGATTAATTTTCGGTCACTATTCTTAACCCTAAGCATTTTTTTATCAAATTTATGAACTATTTGGATTATTGTCATGTTTTTTCTCATAGTTCCTACTTTGTGAACAATTGTTTTATGAACATTTTCAAATGATCTCCTACCTTTGATGTTGAAATCCAATCACCTATTATTCTTGTATGAGTTTCTTTTTCTAAATCTGAGACCGCAACTCTTCTCTTTTAGGATTCTTTATGGGCTTGGTTCCATGTTCGATCGCCCCCTGAAAATTGATCATGCTACTTCCACTGGCCGTAGGTCGTCGATTGCGTGTCTTGGTGGAATTGGATGTTACCAAAAATTTTCCTGATAAGGTTTGAGTTGGTTCTGAGAGCTTGGGTTATATTCAAACGGTTGTTATGGAGCCTTTTCCCTTTTATTGTTCTCATTGTAACTCTTTGGGGCATGAAACCTGAATACCATATTCTTCATCCCCAGTTGCCTAAAGTTTCAGAGGGTGTTTTTAATCATATTCCTGAGCAATCTTTTAAGGATATTATTTTATCTGTGGATGCTAATGTTGTTCAAGTCGTAGTTAATGAGTTACCTGTGGTTTTGGCTCCTGCTGGTCCTGTTGTGTCGAATGATGGTGTCGTTGTTTTAGCTGATGTTGCT